GAATATGTAGGCAAATCCATAGAGATCAAAAGTAGATTAGTGGTTGCCAAGGGCTTGGGGAGTGGGGGGAGGTGGTGCAAAGGAGGAATGGGGAATGACTGCTAGTATAGGGTTTCCTTGTGAGGTGATCAGAATGTCCTGGACATAGTGGTGATGGTTTCACAACCCTCTGAAAATACAGAAAACCACTGAATTGTATTCTTTTAAAGAGTAAATTTTATGGTTTGTCAATTATATCTCAAAGGAAAAAAGCCTCAAGTAGGGGAATGGTGGTTTATTTAACTACCTTCTCAACAAACATCCATCTTCTGCTCCTTTAAGATTTTGCCACTTAGGCTCATGAATAAGCCATTCCTATTTATTAGGTTCCAAGTGCTGGATATACGTCAGTGAACCAAATAGATACAAATCTCTGTCTTCCTTCTTTTCTTTATCACTGTAATCACATCACCCTCCTACAGTGTTTTTTTTGTGTGCTTCCCTTATCAAATCACTGTGGCTCAGCTTAAATTTCCTTCTTCCCCAAAGACTTCTGGGCAGGGATTGTCAGAGGGAATGGGCCTTGTTGGGCTTGGCTCAGGGCAGGCCTGAAAGTTAGAAAAAAAATCCCCATGAAATCAAGAAAGCAGACAGTACTGGCTCCTCACAAAACTATTTTAAGTTTGAGTAGTATAATTTTGTGTGAGCTATTAAAAATTTATGTGGCATTGGTACAGCCAAACTGTTTTCATACTTGAATATCACTGCCAGTTTAATGAAGGTAAATAATTAAACCGGTGTCGCAGTCACAAGTCCTCTGATTCTCTAAAATAATTTTTCACTTTCTTATTCTGCCACATTCAAATTCAGATCTATGTGTCTAATTATAGATATCTTTTTCTCTTTTGCTTACCAGCCCACTGATTTATTAAATAGGATTGATACACCCTGCTGGTTGATAAGTTTGAGGAACTTAAAGATATGCATATAGAATAGTGAATATATTGTTATATTTAGAAATAGAGCCTGGAATATCAAATAGGAACTAGGGGCTATGCAGTTTCTTTTCAAACGTGTATCTACACGTTCAGGAGTTGATTGACTAAATCAGAGCTTGGTCACCATGAACGGCCGAGTTTATGAGAGTTTCTTAATGAAGATGATATGAACTGGGTGATAGAACTTGACTGAAGCAGATGAGGTCATCAAGCAGACACAAAGGTGGGGCAATTTTAAAGTAAAGTAAATTGAAACAATAGGTTTCATTTTCCAAAAGGTTGTATTTAAAGTGAGCAGAATAAAAAAAAACACATTCCTTCATTTGATCAATAATACCTGGGATCCAAATCTTCCGCTCCTCTGTGTTATCAGCAGGCTCACAGAATTGCTGCCCCCGCCACTTCTGCTTACGAAGTGTCTGAAAGGATGCATAGACTTCAGTGTTTCGGTATTTGCAGGAGTGGCCTGGTGGTTTCCAGGGGCCTTCTTAGCTCGGCAGCCTTGTGGAGCCGTGTCCGTTACTGGAGCATCACCTGGCCGTGGAGCGCTCCGCTCTGTGCCAGTGGGAAGCTGAGGACGTTGGGAGCATACTTACTAGGATTTTTAAGTTCCTTTGACTACTCAGTAACTCTCACTTATCAGATGCTCCACTTTGTTCAATTTAATGAACTGACTGACAGTTTTGTATCCCGAAATGCCCCTCGGGGCCCCCATAGACTGGTGTCATGTGCCCAATGAGCCCTTTGGGGCCCCCCTCCCTACTGTTTGCCTGGTCACCGATGTGTCCCACGTATAGGCGGTGGTCTCCAATCCACTGGCCAGCACTCTTAAGCTGCTTGAGGCCTTCCTGACTAATCCGAGAGCCTGAAGATGTGGGATTCATTTTGGCTTTTCCTGTTGTTGGAAGAGCATTTTAACAATGCCTCCGTCTCTGTACATGGAGGTAGTGGTTACTGTGAGATAGTGGGTGTTCAAGATGGCTAGTTCTTGTGTGGAAGGCACCCCAGAGCTGACTGCCTGGTGCCACTGTGGACAAAGCCCACTAGAAGTGGCCTCTTTGCCTGCTCCACTACTGTTACCCTGTTTCCCAAGAGAGAATGCCTCTTTTCAGTTGGGATTTATTTAATATGAAATACCTCAGGATGTTCCTTCGCAGTGGTGTTTATAAAGTGCTGCATAGATCCGGAGAGTTGCTAAATAGTATTTCACTGGTAATGCTTTCTTGAAAACTTGGTATATATTTAGTAATTAGTAACTCAGAAAATTCTTTAATACCACTAACACCCATACAGAATTAGAACCTGCCAAACTATTTATAGTGCTTAGTATAACTACATAATTAGATATGAACACTTTTTTGTGATGATAAACATCAGGGATTGGATGTTACTTCAAGTCTCGTTTGTGGTCCGAAAAGTATGGTGCTCCACATTTAAATATACAGGGAACTAAAGCAGTTTCCTTCGGACAATACCCTGTTTTAATAAAAACAGGTAACAATGGCCTTTATACTGAGAGAGCATCAACCTTCAGTTTCCAATGCAAGTTAAATCTAAAAAAAGAACTTGGGAATATTTTCTGGGGAAAAATGAATATTTTTATGAGTATCTGGAAAATACAGTTTTTCTTAGAAAGGTCAAGTAAATATGACAGTGTTTGCTATGCATTTCTAATAATCACCTGATTTAAGATAGCCTTTTGGTATGATACAAAGTGCTAAATAACCAGTTTGATGGAATTTGCAGTTACCTGTGACTGTTTCTAGAATCATGTGAAGAGTCTGAAGTTTAGTTACAGAGTCATGACCTGGATTCTGAAAGTGCTGAGATGTGTGATACCATTTGTCCTTATAAGTTCCAGAGTTAAATATGCAAATAGAATTTGACATATTATAAACAAGTCAAAATTTATATACAAGATGGTTGTATGAGGACTGAAAAGCAACCTTTATAAAATATTATCAGGGTTATAATACCAAATTTAGACAACTAACATGGAAAATTTGTATTATGCTCTGAGGCTATTGTAGTACAGTATAATAAGCAGTGATCAGAATGACTATAAATCATCAATAAAAAGTCAAAGTATGTCCAGTATATTCTACGTAAGAAAATAAATAGGAAGTTTCTGGTTAAACAATGTGACTTCAAGGCTTATATTTATTCCCTTCTATAACCCACTCAAATAGCAGTTAAGAAGTAAAAAGGGCAAGCCAAGAGAAGAAACGCCAGCAGATGAGAGGTGTCCGTAAAATTGTAGGAGAGAGAAAATGGATGAGGAGTAATTGTCCGAGGTTTGAGCTTTTCCTGCTCTCCCAAGTTCTTCTGGCAAACCCAGAAGCCAGCCAGCTCATGTCACTCCACCCAGAAAGGCTCAGGGATTGAAGGCACATGAAAACAGAAAGGTTGGTTAAAAGTCTGCCTGGAGTCTATTTAAATCCCTGATCTACTCCATACCTCATATAGCCAGGTAACCATATCTTCTGTACTCTGGTAGAAGAAGTCAGTTTTTAGAGAAATACGGAAAGGAGGGAATTATCAGAGAAACAGTAAAAGCCTCCCAGAACTGAAATGCATGCATTTTCTCGATTAAAAGATATAATAGAGTGTCCAGCGCAATGAATAAGCAAAGACCCACACCAATGCATGTCATGAGATTTTATGAAAATGGGGATAACTAAAATTTCTTAATGTCTTCATGAAAAGGGAAAGTAAATATGATAGAAAAATATCTATCATTAAAACTACATCCAACTCACAACAGGAACATAGAAGTTGTGAGACTATGCAAAATGCCAAGAGAAAATAATCTCTCTTCTAGAATTCTCTACCCACCCAAATGATCACTCAAGTTTAAAGATAGAAAAAGAAATTTTCAACTGTGCAAGTTTTCTCACCAACTTTATCTTCCATGAACACTTTTTCAAGAAAGTAGCAGAGGATGTGTGCCTCCAGAAAAGGGGAGGGTGAGATCATGAATGGAGAAGACATGGGGTATAGAAATCAGTATAGCAGGGGTGAGGGAAGGGAGCTCCCAGGGTGATGCTACAGAGAAGTCCTGGTTGGCAGGTATGCATCAGGCCTAGAAGGAGGTCAAAGGGAAACCATAAGGGTGTCTCCAGGAACAAAATGGCTGTGATAAATTACCTATATGCTTGATGATAGGAGGAGAGTTGTAGATAATATTTTAGATAGTGGGGCTATTAAATACATGGGAAAGTCAGCAAACAAGAAAACAAAGCAAATATTCTTGAAAAAATTTAAAATGGAGCAAAAAAGAATATGTAATCACAACTATGTACAATTTTTGCATAGTTGTAATAGAAACACTAAATACCAATTTAACCCAAAACTGGTGATGCGGATTGGAATGTACTAGTATTGAAGGCAAGAGGGTTGTTAAGTTTCTATATTAGGAAGATAATTCCAAAGTGAAATCAGGACAGAGGAGTAAAAATGTTCCATTCAGAAATACATAGGTAAACAGCAGAAGTAGTTAAAAATGATTGCTGTGGAGGTGGGGCGAGAGGGAGGAAGGAAATAGCTATATTAAAAAAAATAGGCCTTGTAGTTACTATTTGATTTTGACAACTAATTTGTATATTGTTTCCAACTTTTAAAACTAATTTTTAATAGTAGGAAAGGAATGAATAAGGTTTTATGTAATTTTCCATAAGAAATGATTGCAAATAACAACGTTGGGTCTGTCCTCAGTTAGGTAGAAGACCTTATTCCAAAACAGTTTCTGTTAAGTACCTACTCCCTTCCATGCTTAAGAAAGCGGTATAAGTTGTACCAGTGGTATTGGTGGCTTATTCCCACCAAGCCTTTTCTCCTTCATTAAATTTTGTAGGCACATGCTTGTCATAGGGAAGTTGAAAAATTGCCTAGCGCTTTGAGATTTCATATTAACCAGGAAGAGGTTTTAGGACCTTCCTCACAGTTGTTTTTGCTTTATAGACGCGTCCCAAGGAGTGAATCATGATGCAGAAAACATAATTTCTCAAACCTTCTGTGTTGTAGGGTGGAGAGCACTGTTACTACCATGGGAGCATCCGAGGCGTCAAGGACTCCCGGGCAGCTCTGTCGACCTGCAATGGACTTCAGTGCGTGAGACTCTTATTGGGACAATGGCCTTGCTTCCATTCATTCATCCTTTCCATCTTTTCTTTCATAGAACAGTCTTGTAGTGCCTCTTCTGTGCCAGTCCTATGCCAGGGACTGGATATGGAGTGATGAACAAGGAGGGTGTAGTCCCTATTTTCTTTTTTTTAAATCTTTAATTTCTTTATTGATTAAGGTATTACTCTATTTTCTTAACACTTAGAGTTTGCAGGAGATTCTGAGGTTAAACAAATGATTACACAGATTAATATTTAATTTGCCTTTTTGGTAGGTACTGTGAAGGGGAAGGACAGGGACTTATAGGGTGACCTAACCTAGATCCAGGAATGTTTCCCAGAGGTGGATGCTGGAGGACATATCAGCTGGATCAGACCTAAGGATAACTAGGCGCTAGCCAGGTGAGGGGGGTGTGAAAGAGAGGAGCTCATGCATCAGCTTTGAGACAGGCTTTCAAAAACACCTGTAGCTGCCTTTAGACCCGAACCCACGCGCGCCAATAAAGATCTGTTTGTGCTCATGCGAAGAAAAAGGATCTCAAAAATCTGATCTCTGCACATAGCAAAAATTTCTGTATCTCCAAAAATTAAATGTGATTTTCAGCACAGAGGCATTCTGCTTAATGGAAATTCACAACGTGCAAGCGTAAAGATCCTTCATTTGCCTCTTTCGAATCAGATGGCTTTAGATTATTGTTACACATGAACAACCTGTTTTCTTATCGATGATATTGGATTTGCATAACAAGAAATTTGGACTAGTCATGCATTATCCTGGAGAAACTGGAACTGCATGAACAGTCCAATCCCAGATTAACCTTCTTATCTTTCCATTTAATTAAAAAAATTAATCATATCAAGTATAATTTGTCTACTCTTGGTGTATACTTTTTATACCCTGTGTAGCCTAGATGCTGTCTAGTGTAGTGTGGGGACCACCATGGGGTTCTGTGCAAATATATAGTTTAGATTTGAGGCAGTATAAAGGTATTTATTTAGATATACTCTTTCTCTTTTTTTCTTTAATTTCTTTATTGGTTAAGGTATTATAAGTGTGTCCTCATCCCCCCCATTATACTCTTTCTTTTTAAAAATGCAATATGCAGCTCCCCTGCTGTTTCTTGCTGTTTGCTGTAATTGTTAATTTTCTCCTTGTGTGGTTTCTCATGCTGCAGTGGTATGTTTGAAGATAATACCTTTGTGTATATGATTGAACCACTGGAGCTGATTCATGATGAGGTAAGTCTGGCTGTGACATCAGTTTCCTTGTGATGTTTTATTCTTTCAGCATCTTTGCCTTTGAGCAATAAAGAGAACATAATGTAGATTTCACTGTGCATTTAAACATAGTACCTGTTTCAAACTTGGGGTGGGGGAGAGGGGGAGAGAGAGAGAGACAGAGAGAGAGAGACAGAGAGAGAGAGAGAGAGAGAGAGAGAGAGAGAGAGAGACAGAGAGAAAAAAAGAGAGAGAGGAACATTGCTGTGACACATGCCCCAACTGGGATTGAACCCACAACCTGGGTATATGCCTTGAATGGCAATCAAACCCACCACCTTTTAGTGTATGGGACGACCTTCCCACCAACTGAGCCACACTGGCCAAGGCTAAACTAGCTTTTATTCTCACTCCTTCTTTAGATAATTGTACAACTATTAAGCATGTACTTAACTTTTGGGAGTCTGAGAATCTTCAGTGGGGAAATTTGTGGGTTGAACTATGATTATATTATATAATAGTTAGGTTTCTTTAGAGGAAGGGGAGAAAATAATGTTTAGAGTCATTCACAGGCCATCAGCTAGACAAAAAAAATCACAAGGACATTATGCTAAGTGAAATAAATCAGGCAGACAAAGAGAAGTATGGTATAATGTCACTTATCTGTAGGGGCTCTAAAAAACAACTTACAGAAATAGAAAACAGATTAGTGGTTAACAGAGGCCAATGGGGAAATGGGTGAAGATGGTCAAAAGGTACATTCTTCCAGTTAGAAGATTATTAAGTTCTGGGAGTGTAATATACACCATGGTGACTATAGTTAACAATACTGTATTGTATATTTGACAGTTGCTAAGACAGTTGATCTTAGTTCTCATCACAAGAAAACATTTTGTATCATGTGAGGCGATGGCTGTTCACTAAACTTATTGTGAAGATCATTTTGCATTATATACATAAATCAAATCATTATGCTCTACACCTTAAACTTATACCATATTGTATGTCAGTTATATCTCAATACACTCTAATAATGTTGCTCACTAATAGCATGGAGCCAAATTTAAAATTCGGTATATGTTCATCAAATACTGTAATGAGAGTTACTACATGCTGGGTACTATTTTAGGTGCTGGGGATAAAATGATGAACAAAATAGATATAGATCCTGGGCCTAATAGATCTTATAGTCTACAGGGACAGACAGGAATAAACAGACTGGATAATTAATTATGGTATATTAGACAGTGATACATACTAAGGGTTAAAAATGAAGCCACATGGAGTTTAACCTTCACTTTAACTATCCAGGGGAGGGCACAATGGGATGGTAGTTTTGGATGAAGACCTTGTAGACATTAGGGAGCTGGAAGAACATTTCAGGAGAAGAGCGCATGCCAAGGCCCTGAGGCAGGACTGTTCCCAGTGTGTTGTAGGAAGTTAAAGGAACCCAGGTTGGAGAGGAGTTGAAAAGTGGGGGGAATGGTAGTCGATGAAGGCACTGACTGAGAGGTAACAGTAAGGACGTTATGTCAGTGAAAAGCACTGCTACTGGGAAAATATTATAGGATCAGAATATTGCAATCATTTGATGGGGAGCAGAAAATGATTTTTATCTTTAGAGATTTCAAATGTAGAAAAAATAAATTTTGAAACAGGTAGCCTGGCTGGTGTGGCTCAGCGCTTGAGCATCAACCTATGAACTAGAGGAGGTCACAGCTCGATTCCTAGTCAGGGCACATGCCTGGGTTGTGGGCTGGATCCCCAGTAGGAGGTGTGCAGGAGACAGCTGATCAACGATTCTCTCTCATCATTGATGTTTCTATCTCTCTCTCCCTCTCCCTTCCTCTCTGAAACCATAAAAATATATTTTAAAAAAGAAACAGGTAATAGTCATATATGTAGGCTATTGACAATAACAGTTGAACACATTTAATTTCTTTGTTGTGGCAATGTATGAATATTGGGTAAGTTTCAAATCTGAGACAGAAGAGTCACTAAATTTTAAATGGTAAATGTGTGAATCCTATATAATTTTTCAACTGGTAACTATAAAAATTAACAGATAATGAGACAATGCCACCCAGATAAAGATATTTTAATTAAGTAAAATGTTTGTCCCGTACTACAGTGGTAGGTAGAAAGCCTGTATACTGTATAGCAAAATTATTTGATGAGTTCAGCAAAAAATTAACTTTGATTTCTGGCATTAATTAATAGCCCTGTTACCCCCCCTGGTTCCATTCTTTCTCTCACAAAAAAAAACCCCACAAAAAAACAAAACAAAACAAAACAAAATAAAACCTACGGAACAAAACCAAACCAAAAAATAACAACTCCCTGCCCTGATCAGTGTGGCTCAGTTGGCTGGAGTGTTGTCCCATGCACCGAAAGATGGCGGGGATTGGGGTGAGGGGAATGTCCAGCTCCCATCAGGGCACATACCCAAGTTGTGGATTCGATCCCCTGTTGGGCCACTTGCAGAAGGCAATGCATTGATATTTCTCTCTCACATCAATGTTTTTCTCTCTCTCCTTCCTCTCTCTCAAATCTTTTACAACAGCAGCTCCCTAAGCCTTAGAGTTTTGTTTTTTTTTAAAGCCTTGAGATTATTTTTCAAGACATTTCTAATAGGGCAATTTTGTAGATTGGATGATTCACAAATGTATGTGACTGTATTAAGCCACAGGTGGGGCCCTTTCACTCTGTTAAATTGTTGCCTGTCATACAGTATTTAAGTGTACCTAACACACTTTGGATTTGGGCAGCTTCCTCTGACACACAAAAATGTGTTATATACTAAACTATTGAAGAGATTTATAAATATAAGCTGCTATTATCCTAATGTTCATAGCCAGTGGTTCTCAACCTTGGCTGCATATTAGAATCACCTGGGAATCTTTTTAAAATCCTGATTTCTGGGCCTCATCCCCGGAACTTCTGTTTCTTTGTTATGGGGTGGGGCCACAGCATTTAGTAACAAAGAAACAATTTCCGGAGGATGAGGCCCAGAAATCAGGATTTTAAAAAGATTGCCAGGTGATTCTAATGTGCAGCCAAGGTTGAGAACCACTGTTCATAGCATTGACTTTGCATTGCTATGCCCATCACCCTATTCTTCCAGGATTGCTTGTTACATGCTTAGTGCTATTTCCTTTTTGCCTCCTTTCTTACTGCCTACCTTTTCTTCCCACTTTTATTTTTACTTTTTTCGGTTACAGTTGACATTCAATATTATATTGGTTTCAGGTGCATAATGGTGAGACTTATATAACGTATGAAATGGTCCCCCTGATACATTTAGTACCCAGCTGGCACCATCCATCGCGATTACGATATTATTGACTATATTCCATGTGCTGGACTTTACATTCCCATGACTGTTCTGTAACTACCAGTTTGTACTTCTTAATCCCTGTCCCTTTTCCACCCACCCCCAACCCCCCTCCCATCTGGCAACCATCAGTCTGTTCTCTGTATCTATGAGTCTGTTTTCTGTTTTGTTTGTTCATGTCTTTTTGTTTTTTAGTTTCCACATATAAGTGAAGTCATATGGTAGTTGTCTTTCTCTGTTGGACTTATTTCACTTCACGTAACAATTTGTCCTCATTTTCACCACCAGTGGAGGGAAAGGAACAATACTTGAAACTTTAAATTAGTTTTAAAATTGTGTTGCTAAACTAGTTGTGAGTGTCATTACTCTAGTCATTTTTTCACCTCTTCTGGAATTAAGAGTTTACTATACTCAAATTTAGATTTTTTTGATATTTTGTTTATTCTTATTAATTTTAGTCTACTTTATAATAACTCAAATATTAAGGATAGGATGCTTCTAATGAGAATTTGTTATCTGTTAAGCAGTAAATGGATAGTAAAACTCTTAATTGTTGTAAGTCTTTTATGTAATCTATCAGGAACACTTTTCAAAAAACAATTTTCTAATTATAAGACTGATACATTATAGGAAATTCAGAAAAGCAAAAATAAACAAAAACTTTACAAAACATTAATTACATATCATCCCATCCCCACAAATAACTTCTCTTCACTTTTCAGTGAATTTCTTTCCATTTTCCAAGATATATCCTCACATACTTAAAAAAAAATTGGATCATTATTTTGTAATATAATTTTAATTCAGTAATGTATCTCTCTGAGCTTCATATTTTTATTTGTAAAACGGGGATGAAATATGCACTGTATGGAGTTCTTATGAGAATTAAATTGTGTAATGTGTTCATTAACAGTGCCTGGCACATACAATGCACCCAGTAATGGAAGCTAATAGTAATAATAGTCATGGAAATAAGCCATTTCTAGAAGTGTAATTTCTAGGGGAAAGGATATTAATGTTTTCAAGGCTGTTGATAGAATTGCTAAATTTCTTTTTGAACTATGCTTCCAATTTTCTCCTACCAGCAGTGTATAAGAGTACTTTTCGCCTTGTAGCTATAATTAACTTTGGTTATCATAATCTTTAAACCTTTGCCAACTTGAAGGCACAAATTTGTATATCTTTAAAATTTTTTCCATTTTGAAGAAATACTAAAGAATTCATCGTTTTTTTCATATATGCATTGGCTATTTGTGTTTCTTTCTTGTGAATATCCTATTCATGTCTTCGGAGAAAGTTCAGACTTACGAGTAACTAATAAAACTATTGCTTTTATCTAAGCTGGAACAATTGGATGATACTCTATTTTAAGTTTCAATACAACATATAATTTCATTCTTAAAAAAAAAAAAAAATATA